CTGTTGGGGGGCGGTGGCGGGGCTAGTGATGTGTCTCCGGCCGGGCCCCCTGGTTTTCTCCAAACGCGACAGCGCCCAGACCCCGGCCCTGGGCCCGGTTGTACTTCCGAGAAGGATTTTAGCACCTTAATACCTCTCAGTGTCGACTATTTATGAATTAAAAAGATCAAAACCCTAGAAAAACACTATTGGCAACGGCCCGAGGATTATTCCTGAGTAAGAATGTTCCTTGTCTTTGTTCCAGAAGAAATTCGCTTCGTGAGAATGAGTCTTCCCAGAGACGGACTATTTGGTTTTCTGTGTGCTTCACTTTTTGTCGTTTTGGACTGAATATTTTTTTTTTTATACTTATAAGAAACAAAAACTCACCATATTAACTTACATGCGAAAGGAATGTACAATTCTGCACTGTTTTTGTTAAAGTATTGTATGAAAAAAAGTCTACAGGAATATATAGCAAATAGTTAACTGGATTCCTGCGGGTGTTAGGATTATAGGAATTTTTCATTTTTATTGTTATCAAGTGCTGTAACGTTTGAACTTTTTACAGTAAGCATTAATTGTATATGCAGAAAAAATATAAGTACATCAAATTAACTGATTCAACTTGTAAAGAAACATGATAAAGCATTCAGTCTTTAAAATTCTTTAAAAATTATAGTTGACACAATATATTAGGTTCAGGTGTACAACATAGTGATTCGATATTTATATACCTATGGTGTGATCACTACAAGTCTAATAATAACTTTGTCACCCTACGAAGTTATTGTGTTATTATTCCCTGCGCTGTACCTTGAATCCCCATGACTTACCTTATAACTGAAAGGTAGTACCTTTTATTCCCCTTCACTTTTTAAAAAATATATTTTTACTGATTTCAGAGAGGAAGGGAGAGGGAGAGAGAGATAGAAACACCAATGATGAGGGAGAATCATTGATTGGTTGCCTCCTGCATGCTGGCAACCTGGGCATGTGCCCTGATGGGGAATCGAACCATGACCTCCTGGTTCATAGGTCGGTGCTCAACCACTGGGCCATGCTGGCCGGGCCCTCTTCACCTTTTTAAAAAATGATTATTTTTAATAATTCTTTATTGTTGAACGTATTATATATATCTCCTTTCCCCCCCCATGGGTCCCCTTCAGCCTGCCCCATTATCTGTGTCTATGGGCCATGCATACATGCATACAAGAACCTTGGTTGATACCCTCTCACCCTTCCCCTTCACCTTTTGTAGCCATTCCCTAATAACCAAATAAATGCAGATTAAAACTGCAAGCTGTTTTTTCCTGTAATTATTGCTTGAGAAGGTACAGTGAAATGTTTTCCCATTCATTACTGATAAGACTGTTCAGTTCTTTTAGAAAGCGTTTTGATGATATTTATCAAATCCTAGTCATGTTCAATTAAAGGCCTGGCTAAATATAAAAGTTTTAAAAGGATTAAAATTGTATGTAATGTGTATGTATGGCTTTGTAAAAAGTCATGTGTATGAAAATACTGGAAGAGAATATAGCAAAATGATAAGAGCTGTTGTTACTTTTTCAGAAGGCTTTTTTCTGAACCCTCAGACTCAGTTGGGTCCCATTGTCTTTCTTTTCCACAGCAGCCTGTACCACCTTTATCACAATCATTTCAATCCCCAACCTTTTTTTTAATTTGGGTAATTTGTTTGATGGCCACTTAAGGTCAGTAAGGCCAGGAACCATATCTGCTGTATCTTGTTTACTGCTCTCTTTCCACTGCAGTGCACTTGGTTGGTAAAAATTTTTAGTAAATATTTGACATAAATAAAAATGTTTGAGTGGTGGGATTAGAATTCCTACTCCTAACCCCACCTGACCTTGTCCCAAAATTTTTGGAATGCTTTATTTTTTAAAATAAAATATTTTTATGATTTCAGAGAGGAAGGAAGAGGGAGAGAGAGAGAAACATCCATGATGAGAGAGAATCATGGATCAGCTGCCTCCTGCAAGACCCCCACTGGGGATCGAGCCCACAACCCGGGCATATGCCCTTGACCGGAATCGAACCTGGGCTGTTTCAGTTCGAAGGCCGACGCTCTATCCACTGAGCCAAAGGGGCTAGGGCTGGAATGCTTTCTTTTGCATTTTTTATTTTTATTTATTTCAGAGAAGAAGGGAGAGGGAGAGAGGGATAGAAACCTCAGTGATGAGAGAGAATCATTGGTCAGCTGCCTCCTGCACGTTCCACATTGGGGATCGAACCCGCAACTGGGCATGTGCCCTGACTGGGAACCGAACCGGGAACGCTCAACCACTGAGCTACGCCGGCCGGGCTCTTCTAGGGTTTTTATGGTTTCCTGACTTACATTTAAGTATTTTATCCATTTTGAGTTTATTCTTGTGCATGGTGTAAGTTGGTGGTCTAGTTTCGTTTTTTTGTTTTTTGTTTTTTGCATATATCTGTCCCAATTTTCCCAACACCATTTATTGAAGAGACTCTCTTGACTCCGTTGTATGCTCTTGGCTCCTTTGTCAAATATTAATTGATTGTAATGGCTTGGGTGCATTTCTGGGGTCTGTGTTCTGTTCCATTGGTCTACTAGTATATGCCTGTTCTTGTGCCAGTACCAGTTAGTTTTGATTACGGTGGCTTTGAAGTATAACTTGGTATCTGGTATTGTGATTCCTCCAACTTTGTTTTTCTTTCTCAAGATTGCTGCAGCTACTCAGGGTCTTTTTTGATTTCATATAAATTTTTAAAGTATTTGTTCTAGGTCTGTGAAATATGCTGTTGCTATTTTAATAGGCATTGCATTGAATCTATAGATTGCTTTGGGTAGTATGGACATTTTAATGCTATTGATTCTACCAATCCATGAACACGGTATATTCTTCTACTTGTTTATAATTCTTTTTTCAATGTCCTGTAGTTTTCCGAATACAGGTCTTTTGCCTCCTTGGTTAAGTTTATTCCTAAGTATTTTACGTTTTTTATTGTAATGGTAAATGGGATTGCTTGTTTAGTTTCCCTTTCTGAGTATTCATTATTGGTGTATAAAAAAAGCCATAGATATTTGGGTGTTGATTTTGTATCCTGCTACATTGCCAAATTCACTTACTAAGCCTAGGATATTTTTTGTGGAGTCTTTAGGATTTTAGGTACAATATCATGTCATCTGCGAATAATGAGAGTTTTACTTCCTCCTTTCCAATTTGGATGCTTTTTATTTCTTCTTCTTGTCTGATTGCTGTGGCTGGGACTTCCAGTACTATGTTGAAGAGTGGTGGTGAAAGTGGACATCCTTGTCTTGTTCCTATTCTTAGGGGAAATAGTTTTAGTTTTTGTCCATTGAGTAGGATGTTGGCTGTAGGTTTGTCATATATGGCCTTTATCATGTTGAGATATGCTCCCTCTATTCCCACTTTGCTGAGAGTCTTTATAAAAATGGGTGTTGGATTTTGTCGAATGCTTTTTCTGCGTCTATTGAAATGATCATGTGATTTTTGTCTTTCAGTTTGTTTATGTGATGTATCACGTTATTGATTTGTGAATATTCTACCAGCCTTGCATCCCTGGGATAAATCCTACTTGGTCATGGTGTATGATCTTTTCAATATATTGCTAGATCTGATTTGCTAACATTTTGTTGAGGATTTTAGCACCTATGTTCATCAGGTATATTGGCCAGTAATTCTCTTTCTTTGTAGTGTCTTTATCTGGTTTTGGAATGAGGATAATGCTGGCTTCATAAAAAGAGCTTGAAAGTGTTCCTTCCTCTTAGATTTTTTAGAATTGTTTGAGGAGGATATGTGTTAGTTGTTCTTTGAATGTTTGGTAAAACTCCCCCATGAAGTTGTTGAGACCCGGGCTTTTATTTACCAGGAGTTTTTTGATTAGTGTTTCAATTTCATCAGTGGTTATTGGCCTATTCAGGTTTTCAGATTCTACCTGATTCAGTTTTGGGAGATTGTATTTTTCTAGGAATTTATCCATTTCATCCACAGTGTCCAACTTGTTAGCACATAGTTGTTCATAGTATTTCCTAAAATCCTTTGTATTTCTGTGGTGTCAGTGGTTACTTTCCACTTTCATTTCTGATTTAATTTATTTTGGTCCTCTCTCTTTGTTTCTTGATGAATCTGGCGAATGGTTCATCAATTTTGTTTATCCTTTCAAAGAACCAGCTCTTGGTTTCATTGCTTTTTGTATTTTTTTTGTCTCTATGTCATTTATTTCTGTTCTCATCTTTATTATTTCCTTTCTTCTACTTTGGGCTTTTCTTGTTGTTCTCTTTCTGATTCTTTAAGTTGTAGTGTTAAACAGTTTATTGATAATTTTTCTTGTATTTTGAGGTAGGCCTGTAATGCTATGAGCTTCCCTCTCAGGACTGCTTTTGCTGTGTCCCAGAGATTTTGGGTTGTTGTGTGTTCATTTTTGTTTCTTCCCAGGAAATTTTTTATTTCTTTCTTGATCTCAGTGGTAACCCATCATTGTTTAATAACATGCTACTTAGCCTCCATGTGTTTGAATGTTTTGGGAGTTTTTAGTGTAGTTGTTTTCTAATTTTATTTCACTGGGATCTGTAAAGATGCTTGATATGATTTCAATCTTCTTGAACTTATAGAGATTTGTTTTGTGTCCTAACATGTGGTCTATCTTTGAGAATGATCCATGTGCCCTTAAGAATGTATATTCTGCAGCTTGGGGGTGAAATGTTCTGTAAATGTCAATTAAATCCATCTGATCCAGTGTATCCTTTAGAGTCACTGTTTCCTTGTTAAGTTTTTGCCTGGAAGATCTATCCAGTGAAGTCAGAGGGGTGTTAAAGTCCCCTACTATGACTGTATTGTTGTTGATCTCTCCCTTAAAGTCCTCTAGAAATTTTTGTTACATATTTAGGTGCTCCTATATTGAGTGCATATATGTTTACCAGGGTTATATCCTGTTGTTGAATCCATCCCTTTAGTATTATGTAGTGACCTTTGTTGTCTCTTGTGATGGCCTTCATTTTGAAGTCTATTTTGTCAGATATGAGTATTGCTACTCCAGCTTTTTTTCTTTTCCATTTTTTCCCAGTCCTTCATTCTTATCCTGTGTGTGTCTTTTGTTCTGAGGTGGGTCTCTTGGAGACAGCATATAGTTGGGTCATGTTTGTGTAACCATTTAGCAACCCTAAATCTTCGATGGGAGCATTTAATCCATTTACATTTAAGGTTATTATTGATAGGTACTTATTTATTGCCATTTTAATTCTGTATGCCCAGGTTTCTCTCTCTATTTCTTCTTCTCATTACAGCAGTCCTGTTAGCATTTCTTGTAATACTGGCTTGGTGGTGATGTACTCCTTTAGTCTTTTTTTTTGTCCAGGAAGCTGTTTATTTCACCGTCTATTTTGAATGTGCACTTGAATTACTATAGCCTTGCTGGATATAGTAATCTTGGTCTCAGATCCTTGCTTTCCATTACTTTGAGTACGTCATGTCACTCCCTTCTAGCCTGTAGAGTTTCTGATAAGAAATCAGGTGTCAGCCTTATGGGAGCTCTTTTGTAGGGTAACAGTTTGCTTTTCTCTTGCTGCCTTTAAGAGTTTTCTCTTTGTCTTTAATTTTGGCATTTTAATTATGATGTGTCTGGGCATGGGCCTGTTTGGGTTCTTCTTCCTTGGGGTTCTCTGTGCCTCCTGGACTTGTGTGACTTTTTCTTTTACCAGGTATTGGAAGTTTTCAGCCATTATTTCTTCAAACACGTTCTCTATCTCTTTCTCCCTTTCTGCCTCTTCTGGCACACCTGCTATTCTAATATTGTTTCGTTTCTCGTTGTCCCACAGCTCCCTTAAGCTGTCCTCCTGTTTTTTAATTGCTTTTTTCTTTATGGTTGTCTGATTGAGTGATTTTTTTCAACCCTGTCATCTAATTCACTGATTCAATCCTCAGCTTCACCTAATCTGCTGTGTATTCCTTCCAATGTATTCTTTATTTGTGCTATGTCATTCTTTATTTCTGTTTTCATAGTTACTATATATTTTCTCATGCTGTTGATCATCTTTATCATCATTATTCTGAACTCTATATCAGATAAATTTCTTATCTCTGCCTCATTTATTTCTTCTTCTGGATAATTCTCTTGTTCTTTCATTTGTGGGTTGCTTTTTTTGTCTCCTCATTTTGGCTGCCTGTTTGGGTTTGTGACTCTGTATTGGGTAGCTCCGCTACGCCTCAGAAATTCCGATCTTTCTGATTTTCTGTTTTATGTAGCGAATACCAGGGCCTGGTGAAACACACAGGAGGCTGCCACTGTGGAGCCGTTCGCTTTGAAGTCTGGGCCTCGGCGGACTTGCACATCTTCGACTGCAAGTGAGTGTTTTCTCTTCCCCAGTTGGTTTAAGAGGATCCGAGTTCAAACACAGCGCTCCAGCGTCTCCCGGGGAATTGGGGTATAGATGAAACAACATACAGTTCATAATTGTTGGAGTCAGGAGATATGTATATAAGGGTTCATTTTTCTATTCTTTTTCCTGTTGTGTGTACTAGAAGTTTTTTATAAATTTAAAACTCTGTTTTTAACCCTCACCGAGGACATGTTAATTGATTTTTAGAGAGAGAGAAACATAGATCGGCTGCCTCCCATAGGAGCCCTGACCAGGGATTGAACCTGCAACACAGGTATGTGCCTTGACTGGGAATTAAACCCATGACCTTTCAGTGTACAGGACAATGCTCCAGCCAACTAAGCCACACTGGCCGGAGCTAGAAGTTTCGTTTTTTTTTTTTGTTTTGTTTTTGTTAATTAATCCTCACTTGAGGAAATTTTTCCATTGATTTTTAGAGAGAGTGGAAGGGAGGGGGAGAGACAGAAAACATCGATGTAAGAGAGGCACATTGGTTGGTTGCCTCCCTTACACATCCTGATCAGGGCCAGGGATCGAGCCTGCAACCCAGGTATGTTCCCTTGACTGGAATCAAACCCAGGCCCCTTTAGTCTGCAGGCCAACGTTCTATCCGCTGAGCCAAACCAGCTAGGGCTAGAAGTTTTTAATAATAATTTTTTTTAAAAAAGATGAAGGCTAAAAATAACTGAGTCTGCTCTATATGTGAGTGTGTGTGCATGAGTGAGTGAGAGAGAGAAAGAGAGAGAGAGAGAGAGAGAGAGCACTTGGTGACACAGAGCAGGGTCCTCGGGCTTGTGCCCGGCAGAGTCACCCCCCAGAATGGTGGGTGGGGAGTGGTAGCTGGAAGCGGGTCAGTCTGGGCACTGAATGAATGCCTTGGGCAGAGTCTTCAGAGTTGGGGGAGGTGGAGGGGAAGGGAGAGGAGGGTGTGCACACTGTGCTGGGCCCTCTCGCTGGGTTCTTCCAGGTGGAGGGCGTGCTTTTTAGCGCCGTCCCTGGCACTGTGACAACAAGGACAGGCTCGGTGTTTTGGAACTTTTTTCCTTAGGTGGTCCCTGAGTTATATGAGAAAAAATATCATGGAACTGACCAGGCTGCTAACAGTGGAGTCCAGATTGAAGAAGCACCATGGCTTCTATACCAGAGTATTAGAGGCTCTTCTTATTGAGGATTCTGTACTAAATTATAATTTTTTAAAAATATACTTTATTGATTTTTTACAGAGAGGAAGGGAGAAGGATAGAGAGTTAGAAACATCAATCAGCTGCCTCCTGCACACCCCCCATTGGGGATGTGCCCGCAACCAAGGTACATGCCCTTGACCGGAATCGAACCTGGGACCCTTCAGTCCGCAGGCCGACGCTCTATCTACTGAGCCAAACTGGTTAGGGCTAAATTAGAATTTTTTAAAAAGGTGGACTGAAAAGAGAGGGCTTAGATTTAGTTCCACAGATGGTCATCTGAGGGCCTGTTTTACTTGGAGGTGGGCTTACTGTGATGTGCAAATGAGCCAAGAGGGACATGTAATCTTTCTTGTCCATTTTGGTGTGGCTCTCCCAGAGGTAGAAGACTGTAGCTATGCCTGGGGTCAGTGTGTCTAGAACCAACAGCTCCCTGCCCTGTAATGAAGTGGGGGTGGTCACAGACCTGTGGTTCTCTTAGTGAGGGTCTTCAACGGGATGCGTGGTCCCCACTGCTGAGGGTGGGGCCTGCGGGCAGAGACCCAGGCGGCCAGTTTCGCTGCCGGCGCGTCACCTTCCCGGGAGAGTGCCGGCAGAGGCCTTACTCCTGGGGTCAGCCAGCTCTCAGATCATATCAGGTTGGGCCCCTTGGCACTCAGAGGGTGGGGAGGGCTGTTCAAAATCTGGAACTTGCTCTTTCTTTCTGTAGCTGCAGTGTTTGCAAGAAGAAGCAGAACAGACACTTCATTGTTCCTGCTTCTCGCTTCAAGCTCCTGAAGGTTAGTGCTAAGAGCAGGGCTGACGATGCAGAGCCCATTGGTGAGTCCCCCGCTGACTGGCAGCACCCCGCAGCGTTCGAGGGGACAGGAGCGCAGCACGGCGCCTCTGGGCGGTCCCTTCCCTGGTCACCCAGGCTTCATGTGTATTTGTAAAGGTTTTGTTATGTTTTCCTTTATATTTTGGATGCTTATGTGATATTACTGAGGAAACATTTTCAAATAAATAAGATCATCCAAATCCTATCAACTAAAGGTAATCACTGTGAATATGTTGGTGTATATCCTTGTGCACGATTTTGTACACAGATAAATACATCTAAATATGTATTTTGTCTTGTATCAAAGTAGGATTTTACCTTCCTTTCTGTTTTATAACCGACTTTAGCATTTCCCAGTGAAAAATATATAAGATTTTTAAACTTTATTACTGTGGGTAGTTTTTTGTTCTTGGGGCAGCATCTGAAAGGAGGGACATGCATGTACACAGTGCAGTCCTCCCCGCTGCCCCTCTCGTCCTCCGGCTCCAGTCCCTGGGCTCTTGTCCTGTTCTGCGTTTGCAGCCCAGGGAGAGACTAGTGAACAAGTGCATGGGTCCCTGCTTCCCTGGGCAGTGAGGGACTTACTACCAGTACTTCGGGCTGATTTGTCTCCTATTGTTTGTCAGCCCTCGGTCCTCATGCGAGTGGTGGGGGTGGTGGGACGGGGGCAGCAGACCTGTCTCTCGTCTTTCCCGGAGGTCCCGAGGACAGCCCGTCCCCTCAGAGGCCCGTGGCTGCAGCCCAGGTCGCCTTTGCTCCTGGCACCCAGGGCGGATGGTGTTTGAAGACACCAGCGGGTGCAGCCGGGGCTCTGGGTCTTGGACTCACACTTTTTCTTCGGGGGCCTGCCTATCAAGGCGTTCTTCTCGTGCTCCAGAGCGCCATCCTCTTCTTTGGCTCCAGTCTGTTGAAGGAGCAAGTTTCTGCTTTTTTTTGGTATTTATTCTTTTTAATTAAAAAAATTTTATTGATAGGTTTTTAGAGAGAGAGACATCGATTTGTTGTTCCACTTATCTGTGCTCTCATGGGTTGATTCTCGCAGGTGCCCTGACCCAGGGGTCGAGCCCACATCCCAGGTGCACCCGGACAACCTCTAACCAACCGAGCCACAGCCAGGGCTTATTCATTCATTTTAAATTGACACATAACATTATATTAGGTTCAGATACGCTGTGTAGTGATTCATTATATGTACATATTGTGTTTTTTTTTAAAAAAGTAAGTACAACACTTATTCATTCAACAAGTATTTATGGGACACCTGCTGCGCGCAGGCACTGCTCCACTGAAGCCCAGCCGTTGGCAGGACAGACAGGTCCGCTCGGAGTTGACAGTCTATAGAGGGGATACAGAAGGACTAAGTCAGAAGTCCGATCGTGCGTGTAAAGAGGGGAAGTAGAGCAACACGTAGATGACCACTGGGGGCTGGAGTAGATTGGTTAGGAAAGGTCCCTCCAGTGCTCAGCTATCCGTGGTGAAGGTGGGGTGCGTGGGTGGAGGAGCTCCCCAGCAAAGAGAGAATATAGTGCAGGGGGCTTCCGAGCACAGCTGTGGCATGCCTGAGGAGCTGAACCAGCCGTTGTGACCGCAGAGGGTCAGTGAGGTGGAGGTGAAAGGGTAGACTAGGGCGGGGTTGGCGAGAGCAACAGCAGAAGGGGTAGCTTTTACTCTCTGTGTAGTGTGAAGTTCAAGGAGGGGCATAAGCAGGGCAGTGACAAGACCTGCTTCAGTGTTTTAAAAGCTCACTTTGGCTGTTGTGTGGAGACTGGCTTGTAAGGAGGCAGGTGCAGACGGGGGTAGCTAAGAGGTTGTCAAGGCGGGTCAGGTGAGAGCTGATGGGAGCTTGGATTCAGATGGTAGTCATGGAGATGGAAAGAAAATAGATAACTGGAGATGTGCTTTTCTTCTTCATTGATTCTAGAGAGAGGAGTGGGGAGAGAGAGAAACATGGATGTGAGAGAGAAACATCGATTGGTTGCCTCCTTCTGTGCGTCCCTTAACCGGGAATTGAACCCACAACCTGGATATGTGCCCTGACTGGGAATTGAACCCACAACCCTTTGGTGCACGGGATGATGCTCTAACCACTGGCCAGGGCTGGAGATATGTTTTGAATAGGTAATTGAACAGGTGTCTTAGAGCAGTGGTTCTCGCACCTCAGTGTGCACGGTCACTTACAGGGCATGTTAAACAGGTGGCCGAGCCCCACTCCTGATCCGTGGGTCGTGGGATGGGAGTGAGAGTTTACATTTCTATGTGTTCATGTGATGCTCTTGGTGAGGACCACGCTCTGAGAGCCGCTGTTGTAGAGAAGGGTGCACAGAACTCTGTAAAGGATCGGGCGTGAAGAGGAGGAAGAGAGAGCAAAGGTACATCCACAGTGTTGGGCCTAACCAACGAGGCAACAGAGATGCCAGATCCTGGGCGAGAAGCCAGTGAGATGCTGGAAGCAAAAGTTCTTTTTTGAAAAAGTTCGATTGAAGTTATCTTTTGGACATTCATGCAGAGGTAGGAAGTGGGCAGCTGGAGGTGAGTGGAGTTGTGGAGAGAGAGCAGAGCTGCAGCTGCCGATTTGACAGTGGTTGGCTTATTGCCGGTGCTTAGAGTTATGAGACCGGGTGAGGCCAGCTGGGTAGAGGGTGTAGCCAAAGAAGGGAGAGGGCCGAGGACAGCTCCTGGGCTCGCCAGCATTTATCGAGCCCGAGAAGGATGGCCGGGGGGAGGGGAGAAACAGGAGTGGGTGTCCTCAGAGACACAAACTTTAAATGGAAGGCGTGGTACTGAGAGGTCAGTAGAAGAGCAAGTTAAAAATCCAGTGGTCAAGGGAAGTGCCCATTAGATTAGTCAAGATGCTGCCCTTGGTGATTGTGATTGGGCCTGAGACAGAAGTGATGACAGGCTGTGCGCTCAGTGGGAGGAGGGCTGTGGTCAGGCTGGTGGGCGCACAGGATCGCGAGGGAGTGAGGATCGGAGGTCACCAGTGACCTCTGGTAATGAACGGGTGAGGGGGGTGTGAGGCAGCTCCCCACTCTGGGGAATTTCTCGGGGGAAGTGTGTAATCAGATCACTCTGGCTGGTTTGGGACCACTTGGCTGTTGCTCTTTGCAGCTTCTCTGTGGTGAAGTGGCCGCAGGGTGAGGAGAGGCCCCTGAGGGAACTGTTTTTATAGGAGACGCAGAGCTCAAGGGTGTTCTGGCGGCTGGGGAAGAAGCGTAAGAAAACCTCCACCCCAACCCACAGACACAGACACACACACACACACACACACACACACACACACACACACACAAACCCTCCACCCCAACCCACAGACAGACAGACACACACACACACACAGAAACCCTCCACCCCAACCCACAGACAGACACACACACACACACAGAAACCCTCCACCCCAACCCACAGACAGACAGACACACACACACACACAGAAACCCTCCACCCCAACCCACAGACAGACACACACACACACACAGAAACCCTCCACCCCAACCCACAGACAGACAGACAGACACACACACACAGAAACCCTCCACCCCAACCCACACCCACACTCCCCCCGACACACACAGTGGCACAAGTATGTATATCCTTTTAAAAAAATAGGAATAGTGTCTAGTACACACATTGTAATACGCTTTGCCTTTTCACTAACTTTGTGACCTTAGAGAAGATTCCGTATTAGTATTTGTAACTTTCGGAAAGTTGCAGAGGATTCCATTTTATGTGTCCATAGTTGCTTTAACTAGTCTTCTGTTGGACATTTTCAGTTTGTCCAGTCTTCAGCCTGTACAGACAGTGCTGTAATATCCATGTACATGTGTCATTGGAAACATGGGATTCTAATTGTGGGATACATTTCCAGACGTGGAGTTGCTGTGTCAAAGGATTGTTCATTTAAAATTTTGATGTCAGAACTTATCAGTGTATATTCTCACAACTGGCCCATTGAGTGATGTTCCTCCACATCGCCTCAGTACTGTGTTAAACTACTTTTATATTTTGCCCACCTGACAGTGAAAAATATCTCATCGCAGTTCATGAGTGTAAACATCATTTCACAGGTTAAAGACCTATTTGTTTATTTTTTCTTAATTTTTATTTATTGATTAGAGAGAGAGAAGCGGGGGGAGAGAAACATCAACTTCTTGTTCCATTTATTTATGAAGTCTTTGGTTGATTCTTGTAGGTGCCCTGACTGGGTATCAAACCCTCAACCTTGCATTTTTGGTCGATGCTCTAACCAACGGAGCTATCCGCCAGGCCTGTTTTTTCTTGTCACTGTTTGTTCATGTTCTTTGTCCAATTTCTCATTTGTTATTATCCATTTGGGAAATTAGTCTTTTGTCTCTGATGTCTGGCAAATACTCTTTTCTTAGTTTGTTTTTCGCAACTGCAGTCAACTGTTTTCTCAAGACCTTCAGCAGGGCTGTTTGGGGACATGGAGAGCCAGTCCCTAGTGCGGGCTGTCTACTCACTCGGGCCTGGAAAGCAGGCGTTTTCCCGCCCCCACACCCCCACCCCCATGTCGACAGGGCTGTCTGGCCGTGAACAGGGACACTGTGAGGCTGAGTTGCTCTGTGTGCAGTTGACCTGCGAGAAGGCATGAGCTGTCCTTTCTCCAGAACAGGCCCATCTACACGAGTCTCCTGGCTGTGCAGGTGGTTCCCTGGGGGATCGGACGTGTCCTCATCATCCCGAGGGCCCTGCAGAGGGGCTCCCTAACCCGTTGAGCCTTTTCGAAGACAGATTTTTTAAGTGAGAAATAACATCTCTTTGTAGAAGGGGACACCTGTCTGTCTGTTTTCCCTTAGGGAGCGGAGAGCATCACCACGTACACGTTCAACACTCACAAGGCGCAGCATACCTTCTGCAAGAGATGTGGGGTCCAGAGTTTCTACACCCCCCGCTCCAACCCCGGGGGCTTTGGTGAGTAATGAGAACGGCACAGCTCTGGGGACACCAGTCACTGGGCTGCTCTGGGAAAATCTGGTTAGCAAGGTGGGCACTGCGTGCTCGGCTTGCCCCTGCGTGGCGAGACCCTTCCGCAGGCCTGTTTCAGAGGAACAGACGATGGGACGGAAGCCTGGCTCTGCTCAGTCAGATGCCAGCCCCGTCCCGACCTCATCCTGGTGCTGCCAGAGCTGCCTCACGGGGCTGGCACTGAGAGACAGCGAGCAGGGGAGAGATCGGGGGCCTGTGGGAAGGGGGGTAACAATGGTGGTTAAAGGGATAAGGAAGCAAGATGGAAGAGCATTGATAATGCCCTTCAAACTTTTTGGTTCAAAACAGAAACAGGAGAAGCCCCCAAAGTCCCTCTTCCGGTCCTACTTGATCTGGAGGCAGAAACAGCCTTTAGACGGTTGTTCAGAATGACGCCACTTGCCATGTGAATTGAAGCAGCGGTGGGGACGTCCCTGAGGGATCTCGTTCCCGTGGAGGCGCAGCTTCCAGGACTGGGGGCAGCTGGGCCGTGTCCTTGCCTCGCGGTGGGGAGGGCATGGCACCACCTCGCTGTTCTGCGCATTTCTCAGAGCAGCTGCTGCTCGTTCCCGTGTGTCACATGGTGGCGCCTTTTTCCTACCGCGAAGCACAGGAAGGCTTTGGACAGTGTCAGCTCCTGTGCAGATGGGGTGGCATTTAATGCTTAGAAGCCACCTGGCTCGGCCAGAAAAGGCCTGTGAATTCTGCAGACTGTCGGTCAGAGATGGGTCCAGGCGGAGCCGTTCTGCTCTGTACTCAGCCGGTCCTGACGGATGGCCAGCCGTGGCCTCCCTGGCTGAGGAAGGCTGATCCCCGTCTCAGAGACGAACAAAGTAAGCAGGACCCTGTAGGCTCACATGCAGCCCAGGGATGCTCGCAGGTGTGGGTTTGTCCAAGAGCCAGTAGAGCACCTGGTCTCACTCATACTGGGGACCCCTTTCTCTGTGCCACTCCCCCCAGGAATCGCCCCACACTGTCTGGATGAGGGCACTGTGCGGAGTATGGTCATCGAGGAATTCAATGGCAGCGATTGGGAGAAAGCCATGAAGGAGCACAAGACCATCAAGAACATGTCTAAAGAGTGAGCGCCCGCTCTCTCCCTTTCTGGAAAGGAGGAACGATGGGGCCAGCAGCGTGGCTGCCCCCCTCTGCACTTGGTGGTGCCGGCGAGCGTGGCTGCCCCAGGCTGCCGGGCTCAGGCCGGCCACCAGCTCCAGCTCTGCCCTTGACTCCAGCTACATTTCCTTAGGCAGCTCTTTGTCCTCCATCAGCCTGGACTTCGATGTAGACTAGTTGACATCCTCTTTCTCTTCCCAACTTTTGTGTGATCTTTTAGAAAAATAAATATTTTAATATTAAAGCAGTTACAGTGATTTATAATTTTCTTTGTCCTTTGATTTTGCTTCTGATTATAAGTCTTTTACCTCCTTGGTTAAGTTTATTCCTAAGTATCTTAATTTTTTTGTTGCAATGGTAAATGGGGTTGTTTAATTTGTCTTTCTGAGAATTCATTATTGGTGTATAAAACAACCATAGATTTTTGGGTGTTGTTTTTGTATCCTGCTACATTGCCAATTTCATTTATTAAATCTAGTAGTTTTTTGGTGGAGTCTTTAGGATTTTCTATGTACAATATAGAAAATTCTCATCTGCGAATAATGAGAGTTACTTCCTTCTTTCCAATTTGGATGACTTTTAATTCTTCTTGTCTGATTGCTGTGGCTGCGACTTCCAGTACTATGTTGAATAAGAGTGGTGAAAGTGAACATCCCTGTCTTGTTCCTGTTCTTAGGGAAAATAGTTTTAGTTTTTGCCCATTGAGTATGATGTTGGCTGTAGGTTTGTCATATATGGCCTTTATCATGTTGAGATATGCTCCCTCTATTCCCACTTTGCTGAGAGTTTTTATAAAAATGGGTGTTTGATTTTGTCGAATGCTTTTTCTGCGTCTATTGATATGATCATGTGATTTTCGCCTTTCAGTTTGTTTATGTGATGTATCACGTTATTGATTTGTGAATATTGTACCAGCCTTGCATCCCTGGAATGAATCCTACTTGGTCATGGTGTATATGATCTTTTCAATATATTTCTGGATCTGATTTGCTGATATTTTGTTGAGGGTTTTAGCGTCTGTTCATCAGGGATATTGGCCTGTAATTCTCTTTTTTTTTGAAGTGTCTTTATCTGGTTTTGGAATGAGGATAATGCTGGCCTCATTAAAGGAGCTTGGAAGTGTTTTTTCCTCTTGGATTTTTTAGAATCGTTTGAGGAGGATATTGTGTTAGTTGTTCTTTGAAGGTTTGATAAAACTCCCCTGTGAAGCTGTCCAGACGCAGGCTTTTGTTTGCTGGAGCTTTTTTGATTACTGCCTTAATTTCATTAGTTTTATTGGCCTATTCAGGTTTTCTGATTCCTCCTGATTCAGTTTTAGAAAAATGTATTTTTCTAGGAATTTGTCCATTTCATCCATATTGTCCAGCTTGTTGGCATATACTTGTTCATAGTATTTTCTTACAACCTTTTGTATTTCTGTGGTGTCAGTTGTTACTTCTCCATTTTAGTTTCTGACTTTATTTATTTGGGTCCTCTCTCTTTGTTTCTTGATGAGCCTGGCTAATGGTTCATCAATCTTGTTTATCTTTTCAAAGAACCAGCTCTTGGTTTCATTGCCTTTTGTATTGTTTTTTTAGTCTCCATGTCATTTATTTCTGCTCTAATCTTTATTATTTTCTTTCTTCTACTTACTCTGGGCTTTTCTTGTTGTTCTCTTTGTAATTCTTTAAGTTGTAGGGTTAAGTAGTTTATTGTTAATTTTTCTTGTGTTTTTTGAGGTAGGCCTGTAGTGCTATGAACTTCCCTCTCAGGACTGCTTTTGCTGTGTCCCAGAGATTTGGGGTTGTTGTGTGTTCATTTTTATTTGTTTCCAGTTTAATTGTTTGTTTTTTTAGACATTAAAAAATAATACATATTTTTTTTAATTTCAGAGAGGAAGGGAGAGGGAGAGAGATAGAAACATCAATGATGAGAGAGGATTACTGACTGGCTACTTCCTGCACACCCCCCACTGAGCTCAAGCCCTCAACCCATGCATGTGACCGGGAAACGAACTGCAACCTCCTGGCTCATAGGTCAATGCTCAGCCACTGAGCCACACCGGCTGGGCCCATCTTAATGTTTTTTAAGTGTACAGTTCAATAGTGTTAAGTGCATTCACATTGTGCATCCAATTTCCAGAAATGGTTGTCTTGCAAAACTTAACTTTTGCAAGTTACCCATTAAACAACAAGTTAGAATCTACATTTTTAAAGGAAGCAAGATTTAGAAAGATAGACGGGAGAAGTAACTATGAACAGGTATGGGCACATGCTAATGGCAGGCGAATTGGATACTTGTGATGGAAGAAGTAATGGAAGAGAGCAGAAAAGTATGTTGAAGTCAGACTGTGGACTGTCCTAGATATTAGGCTCAGGAATTTGGCCTTCATTTCACAGGTATTGGGATCCCTGAACAGCTTTGAACAGGATAAAGAAAGCCTGGACTGTTATGCACTCTCTTTTTTTTCTTTTCTAAGTTAAGTGTTTTTATATATATTTTTAAAAAATCTTTATCGTTGAAAGTATTACATAGGTCCTCCCCCCCCCCCACTAACCATTAATCTCTTCCAGCCACTCCCATCCCCACAGCCCCCTGTTGAACACTCTTTTAACTGGTTTCCTGCCCCACTCGGTGCTTCACATTGCTTCCGGCATGCTACAGTCATTAACTTTCCTACAGCAGTCCTTTCATCACCAAATAGAGTATATACATCATGGCAAATCTTAATAAATATTTGCTCTTTGCTTTAGGAAAATCAATTGAAATGATTGCGAGGTAGACTAGATAAGGGGAAAAGAGACAGAGGAAATTCAGTAGTTCCCCCTGTCCATGGTTTGGCTCTCAGTGTTTTGTTACTCATGGTTAACCATAGTACCAAAGTATTAAATGGAAAATTCCACCTTACTTCCTCCCATCATGTTGGCATGTATCATCTTATCAGAAGTAGGGAGAGTACAGTGCAATAGGGTATTTTTAGAAAGAGAGACCACATTTACATAAAATTTATTACTGTATCTATATATATAAAAGGACTGGATGACTGGCCGGTAGCTATGACACGCACTGACCACCAGGGGGCAGATGCTCAATGCAGGAGCTGCCCCCTGGTGGTCAGTGTGCTCTCACAGCCAACCTGCCATAGTCCCTCCCCCACCCACCGGCTCGCCCTGATGGCCCTGATCGCCGGCCAGGCCAAGGGACCCCTACCTGTGCATGAATTCGTACACCAGGCCTCTAGTATTGTTATAATTTTCTGCTTTATTATTGGTTATTGTTAATCTCTTACTGTGCCTGATTTGTAAATTAACCTTTATCATAGATGTGTATGTACAGGAAAAGGTTTGGTGTTCTCCACAGTTTCAGGCATCCACTGGGGTATTAATCATCTCCCCTGCAGATAAGGGGGGACAGTTGTACACATGGACTGGGATTCTGTGTGGTCACCATCTCTGCCAAGTCATTGACAGCCTGTTGACAGACACCTTGTTCTGACTAAGGTGAAAGGAGTTGATGAGTTTTACAGGTAAAACATGAGTATATTATACAGTGAATGTTCCCTCTGGTATATCATACCTACCTTGTTAATTGCAGTATTATGTAAAAATACAAATTTTATCTATCTTTAAAAATTAGCCGAACCGGTTTGGCTCAGTGGATAGAGCGTCGGCCTGCGGACTCAAGGGTCCCAGGTTCGATTCCGGTCAAGGGCATGTACCTTGGTTGCGGGCACGTCCCCAGTAGGGGGCGTGCAGGAGGCAGCTGATGGATCTCTCTCATCGATGTTTCTAACTCTCTGTCCCTCTTCCTTCTTCTCTGTAAAAAATCAATAAAATATATTTAAAAAAAAAATTAAAACAATATATATGTTTTTATTGATTTCAGAGAGAGGAAGGGAGAGGGAGAGAGAGATAGAAATATCCGCCCCCTACTGGGGATCAAGCCTGAAGCCCTGGGCATATGCCCTAACTGGGAATTGAGCTGTGACTTCCTAGTTCATGGGTCGATGCTCAACCAACTGATCCACTCCAGCCAGGGCAATTTTGTGTATCTTTTAAAAACATAAATGACATCACTTTACACCTTTTGTTCTCACAACTTGCATTTTTGTTTAGAAACCTCAGTAGATATATCCTCATTATTAGCTGTTACATAGAATTGCATAGTATGGGTATAATTCATTTAACCTTTTTTTTTTATGGAAATTGGGGTTTCTAGTTTTTGCTTTACAATGAGTGTTAATAATGAACATTATTTTACATGCCTCTTTACACAGGTATTCTTTGAGGATATAGAAGTGAAATTATTGGATTGAAGATACGCATATTTTAAATATTAAAAATATTGCTAAGTTGCCCTTGAAGCGTATGCTAGCCTCTAAAATATCCATCTGCCCTGCACATAGCAGAGTGCCCTCACTATCACCTGATGTTATTAGTCTTTTTTTTTTTCTTTAAAAATAATTTATTCATTTTCCGATCACAAGGTACAGGACCGTGCAAGTGTGATGCCTGAGACGCTGTGGCGGCCGCCTGCCTGTGCATCTGTAAATCCCTCTGTGCAATACCAGGTCCCTCCTGCCCCAGCAGCTGCTGCATCCTAACAGCTGTGTCTAGTATCGTGTGGGAAGTTTAAAGAGTTTTCCAGCTTGTAAATGCTGAAAGGGAACTAGCTGTTCCAGGTGCTCATTTCCGAAAACTCTGAGTAGGTCACAGCAAATCATGCCCAACTGACAGGGCCATGTAAAGCTTTTAAAAGGCCTTTCTTTAAACAGCAGTGACTAAGGCCCCTTCTGTGTCCCCAGCCTTCTAAGGCCCAAGGCAAGGTGCCTGTGGCCCCGGAACAGCCCCTGGGCTTCCCCACATCCTAGGGGGTGATGGAGGAAGGGCAGGCCAGGCGTGAGGAATAACAGTCAGTGTTATTGGGCTCAGACCAGGAGTCCATGGGTCTTGAGGACCTCTGTGAATTTGTTAATTTTCTTCTCCACGTTCTTTTCGGCCTGTTTCCGTAGCCTCACGAGCTGCTTTCTCTTGCGGTGATGGACCTTGGCCTTCTCCTTCCTCTTCTCCTCCAGAGGGGCTGTGCCGGCCTGGTATTCCAGCCACCCTCCTGAGCCAGGCGCCCCAGGCAGGCAGACTCCCGGGCAGGCTTCAGACGCACAACCTTGAGGGCGGCGGGAACCCCATTCGCTTTTCCTTGTCATAGGGCGGTGGGATCCTGTCAGACACCTGGAGGCGGTCCAAGGCGGCCTGGCCGCTGGTCTTGTGG